TTAGCCAAAACGATGGGACTTGGTGATATTAATGCTTCACGTGGTTGGATTGATAATTTTAAAATGCAAAATAACTTAGTTCAAAGAACAAAAACTCAAATTGCTCAGAAATTTCCTGAAGACACACCACAGATTGTTAGAGATTTTCTTAAGACTTCACGTGAAGCCACAAAAAACTTTGAAAAAAAATATATACTTTCATTTGATGAAATGCCAGTTTGGTTTGACTTACCACGAAATTCAACACTTGATTTTCAGGGGGTTCAAGAAGTTCGAATTAGAACTACTGGAAATGATAAATTGCGTTTCACTGTTGTTTTAGGTTTTTTTTTTTTTGTTTTTTTTTTTGCTTCTTTTTTTTTCTTGCTAAATGAATATTAATGTTTTAGGTTTTACTGCATCCGGGTATAAACTTCCACCCATGATAATTTTTAAATTGAAAAAAATACCAAAAAGAAAGTTTCCAAGAGATATTGTTGTAGCTTCGACACCTAGTAGAACTATGCATGGAGAATTAATGATGTCTTCATATATTCCAAAAGTTATCCGAGCAAGACCAGATGGATTTTTTAAAAAAAATGGTATAGTATTTGTTGATATTCATAAAAGTCATGTACGAGATGATGTAATAAAATTATTAAACACTGAAGGCTTGGAGGTATAAATAGCTAATATGTTTATTAAATACTAAAAAGCAATTACTATAAACTGCTATATACAAGACCCCTAGATATCGCTGCCTACTATAAATGAATATGGGGGTCTTTGCCTTGAAAATGACCTTATAGTACATAATACTATAAGGTCATTTTCAAGGCAAAGACCCCATATGCATACTTTTCCTTCTAATAGTACAAACCCTTCACTATATACTAGACCTGTAGTCTTATATTAGGTTTTAATATTGGTGGGTATAGAGACCTGGGTCTTTTATATAGCAGTTTATAGTAATAGTTCTAATCTACCGGTAAAATATAAAATTAACTATTTAAACTTTAATTATTTCTGGTTTTTAAATCAATGAAAAATGGTTTAAACTATTCTATTACAATCCTGACTTCTTTTACTAACTCTACTTGGAGGTTCTAAAAATTCTTGGCGGAACTACTAGTGTATTACAGCCACCAGATGTCTCAGTCAATAAACCATTTAAGAGTGGCATGAGGAAAAGATGGGATGAGTGGATGAGCAATGGTGAAAGAGAATATGCAAAAAATAGAAACCGCAAAAAAGCAACATATGAATTAATTAGTAAGTGGGTGTCTGAAACATGGAAGGAAATTGGTCAGGACCTTCTAATAAAGTCATTTGAAGCATCCGGACTTACTTTAGATCCTGATGGAAGTGAAAATGATAGGTAGGATTGTGTTATATTTTTATATTTATATAGTTTATAGTAATTTACTGTATAATATACCATGTATATATATACATACATACGAACTAAAGTTAGTGCAATTTATGAAAAAAAATATCAGAAAATATATTGTATACAAAATGAATTTATTTTTAAATTAATCGTCTGAAAATTAACTTCGTTTGCAAATTATTATTTATGACTATGTTTTCTATAAAAAATTTTATATCTCTAAATATGGCAATATAAAATATTAATTACTAAAACTTACACTAAAAAATATGATAATTAACAACCCTAATAATAGGATGTCAAGAAGGCTTCAGGCAATAATTGAGAATCGCATGGATAATGTGGCTGTTGAGCAATCGAGTGAAGAAAAGAACTTGGCGGCATATGAATTGGATTATGATGATGAGTTTAATTATGACAATGAATTTGATGAAGAAATTGGTGGCAGATTTGATGAAAGAATTGGTGATAATGAATTTGACGAAGGAATTGGTGGTAATGAATTCAACAAAGGAATTGGTGGTAATGAATTTGACGAAGGAATTGGTGATAATGAATTCAAATTTGACGAGGAAATTGGTGCAGGTAAATTTAATGAAGAAATTAATGATGAGTTTGATGAAGTTGGTAATATTGAATTCGATGAAGTTGATGATAATGAATTTGGCGAAGTTAGTGATAATGAATTTGGTGAAGATGAATTTGATGAAGTTGGTGATGATGAATTTGACGAAGTTAGTGATAATGAATTTGATAAAGAAATTAATACCGATAAATTTGACGAGAGAATTGAGGATGAATTGTAAGGAAATCACCTACTATTAGTTACTTTCTATTTTCTTTTTTTTTGCAAAATTTTTCCTGCTTGTTGCGAATATAAGTATATAATAATTCTAGTTATCTGATTATATATAATGTAAACATTATTTTATTATATATTTAAATTTATAAATATCGTTATATTTCATGTTCAAATAACTTTGTACAACCGCTACTTTTGATAATTAAAAAAAGCTTGCTAGCATAAATAATCAGAACCTTTAAATTAAAGTTTGTAATTTCGTATTGTAAAACTAAAATAAAATGCCGCATAGTATCTAGTTACATATTACTCTAATTAGCTACACCAAGTTTTCAATATATACGGAAGCGTAAAAATGATTTATTAATGTAAAAAATCATAAATATAAGTAAATACTACCCCAAATACTTAATTACAAACATTTAGTATCTAGGGTGTGCGTTATTTCGGAACGCACATGGGCGTTATTTCAAAACCAACTATGGTATTTTAAGCAAATGCGATTTTTGAAATAACGCTCATGTGCGTTATTTCGCGTAAATACGGTA